CGTGAATATTCCCGCCGTCATCCCCGACTATTATTGTAGGCTACCTCGAAAGCCGAATGCTTTATGGGACCTAAACTGAAGGATTTAAATGCCAAGTATGTGGAAATAGCCACTGAACTGTACCCAATTTGACTTCTGTGTATGCCTCTGCTCTGCATGGCTTAGCGGTTCAACGACTGACTTTTGCGTTCAAAGATACTACATATGGGGCGTTCCATACCAAAATGACGCATAAGACAAAAATTAGTTTTTGAAAATTTTTGAATTTTTTTTTGAATTTTTTTGAGTATGCAGTTTTGCAGCTAATTAAATTTTAGTATGCTGCTTTTACTTCAGACAAATTAATCCAATTCCGAGGAGCAACTGCATATGCCAACGGATGCATAGCCAGATATATACCTAGTCCCTAGTAAGCATTTTCTAGATACCCATTGACCTCCAGTTTCGAACAGATGATGCTCAATAATCACAACTATCGAACAAAGCCTTCAAGGCAGTGCTCAGTCCAGCTTTATATTCATCCAGTATTTATTTAAAAGGGTTCCTGAATCAACATCAAATGATGTTACATCGGTTGTTGGACATTTAAGAGCCCAATCGCCACAGATCTGCCAAGGAGCTGCCAAATTAAAGCTTCCGCAATACTCGCGGACCTCTGCCAGCGATCTCGTTTCGGGTGAGATTTCTCAATCACTCTAGCAACTATGCTGACTGGTACGACAGCCTTGCATAGTTCTATGACCTCGAATGAAGCTCGACTGCCCAAACCGACGCCGAATAAAACAAACATTTCTTAGGGCCCCTACGAGACAAGATGTGTCTCGTACAACAGTCACTGCACCGGAAGCCATTATCATTAAAGAGGCATCGGGTGAAGGTTGTTTTGCTATAGACCTATAGGTATAAGTACTCTGCTTTAACGGAGGCCATGTAATACATAAAAGTGCGCGGGTCAGTTAAGTTAATCTACAATCGGCTTGGGAATACACCCGGCGCCTCTCTCTAATAAAAACAACTCACTAATACACTGCTTACTTCTTTTATTTCTACGAACATTTTAGCGGCTGTAGT